CTGCATGCAAAGACTTGATGCTACAGTTTGCTTGGGGGTGGGGTGAGGTTGGGGTATGGTGGTGTGTTATGTGACATAACTTTCATGTCCGTTATTTTTCATCTGAACTTGCTCACTGATATCAAAGCAAGGAACGCTGTTTTTATTTTTGTGACAATAATATAAGATATATAAGGTAACCAGTATCGAAAGACATGGGTATACAACCCCAAAACAAGGAGATCATGAAATAGAGACAGGGACGTAGGATGTGCGAACAAGAATATTGCCAATAAACAGGGACGTCTGGCCAACAAGGAAGCTGGGGATGTTTCACTCACGAGAATCAAGTAGGAACAACATGCAGGCTCCTGCATATCACCTGGATACATAGCCCATCAAAAAAACGAAACCGGAGCAACTATAGCTACATGTAGATACGTATAACATATATATATATGTATGTATGTATTGTATACATATCATGTATGGGTTTGTCTCAAAATGAGGGATATCGGGATATCACATTGTTTGGCCACCAGAAACTATGGGTTTTCGTTCGGTCACCAGATTTTGGGGTATCCATGGGTATCGATTGAACCAACTCACAGAGATCCATTGAAGAATTGTCTGTGTTGAACCAAACATAAATACCATGGTATTTAGTAGGAACATCATGTAAATACCATGGTATTGGGGATGTTGAACTAATACTACAAGTAGGAATGTACAACATCTTACCATATACTCTAACTAAAATGCATGTAGAGCTAAATGATGCAAATCACTCCCGTTCAGTCAGGGTAGGGCCACGAAGAAAGGATTTCTGAAGATAGACCGATAGACCTGTCAACTAAGACATGTCGATAGTCTTGATACGAGGTGTCAGTTCAGGCGTGTCTACATGTAGCCCACACATGAACTTTCGAAATTACCAAGAGAAAGCTGGCACAAGTCCTCCATCGATTTGTTTGGGTACAGAATGGTAGAATGTGGTAGACCAACAAGCCATCCCACACTTACCCGAATCACAAGATATTGTGAGTGTGTTTGAAACCAGACCACAAAATGGATTTATGGGTTGTTATCTACTCGCATTTGTTGTTGGTTTGTATCTGTTTGTATCCCCAGTGTACCCGTATACCCACATGATATCTCCATTATATCCCTACTATATATAATTGTATCTCCATTGCATCTACACTACACTATATCCCTATCGTATCTTCATTATTTTCATTTATATTGCCCATGTGATGGTTACATTCCCATGAGATGTGTCCTTGGTATTTGATGTTCCATGTCTCCTGCGGCTCCTGCAGGCAGTGCATCGGCTGTGCCCGGGCGTCTATGGGTACCTCGCTGCATTCCTTGCAGATGCGTCCCATCAATCAGGCTGTTTGCATCAGTAAATATGGGGGTTTAACCCTTAAGAATTATTGTATAGTGGGATATATTGGGGATACACATAATGGATAATAATGGAGAAACAACATTCTCCAGCAATTTTTGTCAATCTGCTAGCTATGGTATAGATGGCCCAACATGATTTATATATATACTGTTTGCAAACCTGCTGATGGGCGAGGTATTCCTACGATGATGGGGTTGGTCTTCTGACGTGTTCCGCAACCAGCATCTACACCATGAGTTTCTTTTGCCCTGAGCCGGGACCCCAAGGTTTTGGCAGACCAGGAAGTTGACCATCGGCTGACCACCAGATTTCAAACCCTCCAAATTTTGGATCATGGAACCGGCCCAAAGATGGAAAAATAACACCCTACTAAAATAGTGATATATTATGATTAGAGTCTATTTTTTCGAGATGGCTATATTATATTGTTATATGTTGGACCCAGCTGTGGATCAAAGTTCCTTGGATCTTCCGACGATGCATCGATTTATACTTAATATTTCTATCTGGAATTTGAATAAATGAAATATACTGTCACATTCTTGGGGTCCACAGAATGTCTTGGCCATGCTTGACCGGAGCGACATGACTGGACGTTCGAACTGAAAATCCAGGTGTTGCACCTGCCATTTCAGTTGCGAACTGGCATGTGGGAGGTTCTGAGCCACGGTTCTGACATGCTTTGACCTGGGTTTGTGCTTTCTTTTTTTCTCAGAGTCGGCTGGTCATCCAAATCTATGCCTGACATTTGTCCCTTTCAGGTCTGAGGCAAACCCTGCAGAGGCGCAATCCCATGGCAGGGGTTTTTGATTTTTATGGTATGGGTATGGTCCAAAAATGAAGACCATTCATTTTTCGGTATCTATCATGTGACCATGTCAGGGCAATCTTTCTTTGGATTGGTTCAATCCCAACAACCGGTTGGCTACGTCCAATTTGTTTCGTACTTGAAGGATTGTAGGTCATGCTCTTAAATGGGTGGTTCAAATTGTAGAGTCTGATCTACACTGCAGAACTATGTCCTCTCAGCGTGAGTCTTATCATCATCAAATTTGTGGCTATTTGGATCCCCAATGTTGACGTATACACAAACAGGATGGCTCCCAGAATACACAATTCCATCCCACAGATGTCTTTTTCCCAGTGGAGGGCGGGTATGGTCTCGTGGATAAGACGCATCCCTCATGCGTCAGACCCGGGTTCAATACGCGGGTGCAACACTAGGCTGACAGGCGGGCCACTACCCCACCCCCGCAGTTAAGGGGATGAGCTAGGGTGTGGTCCGTAAAAACACTCCCTCTCTTTTTCCCACTAGTCGGTGTGCGATTTTTTTTTTTGCATCCTAGTTTCTAAAACAGGCTGGAAATGGGTAAATTGAATTGTACCAAACGATATATATATAATTATGTGTATATATATAATTATGTATATATATATATATAAATAATTATGTATATATATACATAATTATATATAACCATGTATTCATATATATTATATAAATATATAGAGCGTACGCATACATATTACCATCGCAGTACATGATCAAATGGGCCAATCTTACCATTTTACGGACAGGCTGTTTGATCCAGCATTGCTCAGGCTGTTACTGAGCTTGTGGTCTGAGTGCCCAAAGGGCGCAGCTTGAGCACGGCAGGAAGCGCTGCTTGGGACGCTGTCAGTGCGCAGAGCTGGGTGTACTTTTGGTGACTATAGATTTACAATTGGCTATGAGATTGACATGCCATGACATATACCATATTTATACCATATTTATCACCAATATTTGATTCATTTGTGCTATAGTTGGTGGTTTCATGAAGAGATCTTTGAGCTCCCCCTTCCCACACTGGGACCAAAAGCAGGGGTAATTGAAACCACCAGCTGCGGTGATGGCCGATGGCCTACGTGGCGAATGCCTGGTTCGCCCGCAATCCATTTGCCGCAAAAGTCGCTGCTGTTTTGCAAGATTGCCTACTAGGGAATCAGCCGAGTTTACAACTCATAAAAATCTGTCATTGCTGGAGTTTTCTAGAAATCCCCATTCAATTAATGGTTGATATGGCTGGTTCATCCGCCATGGTTGATTTCCCCAGATCTTTCCCATGAACAACTCCATTTCGCTCGGGGATTTTCCAGCCCCGCTTGATTATACCAGAGGTAATCATCATTGATCACCAATTATCATAGTTAATCATGTTTCACCATTAATCATTATATATTATATATATAATGATCATTATTGCCGTTATCAGAGGACATCCAGCCGAGGTCACAGGGCATGGCTGGACTCCTTTGCCGCAAGTTCGGGGCCTTGATCTAGGGGATCTGAACCAGCAAAATGGTGAAGCAAAATGGAGATTTCAACAGGATTCACCAGCAAAAATGGGCATTCAACTTGTTTTAACTAACCAGAATACATAGGGATTATATAACCATGGGATAAAAAAACAATGAAACATGGGGATTCGGGATTCAACAATTTAACCATGGGGATTTGGCATGATTTAGCCATCAACTATCATAAACATGGAGATTCATGGGATATTGTTAACCACCAGTATATACTCAGCAAAGATTGGGATACTAATCATTAATCATCAACAAGGTAATCATTAATCAGACAGGCATTTAACGCATCAACAGTAAAAAACCATGAGGCACCTCAGAAAACGATATCACCAATGCCGTAATATTAACTAATATTAACCATCAATACTCAACAAACATGGGATATGGCTAGCAGGGTATCTGCAGTCGACTTCATGGACTCGAAATCGGACACCAGGATGAAATCACTGGGATTTTAAAAGGTGTGGCCATGGGATTTTAAAAGGCTTCCATTTTTTCAGAGACCAACAATGTCCTGTTTAGCCATCCGAAGCCAACAAAATTTAGAATTGGGAGGCATCATCGAACGGATCAAATTGAAACTGCTGCGGCTAGTGATGTGAAAGTCACGTGAAGGATGTGGCCTGTATCGAACCGAGATTGGGAAACACATGGAAACACCATGTTCTATTTGGGTTTGTCCCAAATTCTGTCTTTTTTAGTTCAAGAATTTCAACCGTGGCTACTATCATCCAAAGGTCATTGAGACAACCGTACAGGGTTCTGGTGGCGAATGCCCACCATCCAGCACGGCAGTTCGGATGCCTGCTCGTTTTGCGTTTGTGATTGTATTCTTCTATAGGATGATTTGAACTGACAAGTGAGAGAATAGTGATTTGCTGAATTAGTGACAAAATATATCAAAATATTAGAACATGGTCATGATTCACCAATGATACAACTTGGGGAGCTTTCATACTGCATTTCCAGGCGACAGTGTTGCCATATCTCAGTTCGACTCAGTTCCTGACCCCCTGTCGAGATCCTCAACATCCCTCATGTATACCCTCTGGTTATGTCAAAATAGCTATTGAACATGGCCCATAGAAATAGTGGATTTTCCCATGAAAAATGGTGGATCTTTCCAGTTCGCTATGTTAAATTACCAGAGGGTATAGATGATTTGCATTGATTTTCCCAATGGAATTCATAGCTCCATTGGTCCATTGGTCGGCCATTTGTCCGGTCCTCCTCCAGGTCCAGTTGGTCGCCAGACATGGGCGTTTTTTTTGCTCCGAAGAGGCGACGCGGTTGGCGAATGGGTGACGTGGGGGAGACAGAAAATGGAGGATTTCGCCATGAACATGTGGATTTAAATAGCAGAAATGGATATGAATGGGGACATCATCAAGGAAAATTGGGAGATTCACGATCTGCATAGCAGCCAAAATGTGGGAATGAAGCGGGGCAAACTATACACTGTCGCCGGCCTCATTTGAAATGATGAGGAAGGAATCGTCCGGAGTGGACACCTTTACTTCAAGGAAACAGGCTTATTGGATGCCAAAATTGGCAGGAAGACATGGGGAAACGATGACAAAGTCTGGGGGATGGGGGGTACCAAATTTCAATATGTACATATCCATTTTCTATGTGTGTCCACAGTGGTTTTCCATCTGCATTGTTTCTACAGATTTTTTGGGTGGCACCCAACCTTTTCTTCTTCTACCTCAAGTCTTTTTGAAGGTGAGTTTACGTGTGCCCCATGTTCTTTCTCCATGTCTATTTTTTGTGGGGCCATTTCTTTCCATGCCTACATATTTGCATGTTTGTTGCTACTTTAATGGTTTTAGATATGTTGTTTTCCGATTTTGTGTCAGTGGAAACCGCCGGAATTGCTGAATGGCTATCAGGTACCAGATTTGGTTCATACTTGGCTCATCAACCTTGACACACTTCCTGAGATGCTAGGCCTTCCACGGTTCACCGCGAGTAATTATTTGGGTCTCACACTTTTGGTTCTTCATTTTTTAAGCCATGTATATTGACCTCCAAAAAAGATAGAAAGGCAAATCACCATAATCTGAAGATGAGGTTTTGTTTGTTGAACAATCCACCCTTTATATAAGCAGAAGCGACCATAGGAAAATCGGCATTTTTCCAATGCATGGCTTAGGCGCCGAGCGAGGAGGAATTGCAAGAGAAGATCGCACTGGCCGGGGGTGGTGAAAGCATTTTTTCAGAATTGGTCTTCGCAAAAAATGGTATCGAAAACAGAGATGGGGGGTTTGAATCCCATCATATTGCTATATCAACATTCATTAATCATCATTAACCATCATTAACAATCTTTCGGAAAAGTTTCCAGATTCTTTCCGTTTTTCGAATTCTACCTGCGATGGTCGACGCTGTCTTTTTTTTTCAGAAAATTTGTTTCGTTTGAATGGGTTGAAACCAGCTGTTGCGTTTGAGTAGCGTTGAGTGCAGATATGTTGAAAGATAAGGTTCATAAGTGATGGTTATTCAACATATTTTATTCCTTTTATTGTTATACAAGCGATGGTTCATCTTGGTGAAAACCTCACATGGACAAATCATGTTTAGGACCAAAACACCTGTATGATTCAGAGATGATATGAAAGCCGTGCTGGTTGGATGCGGGATATTTGCCAACAAAAACCACAGATATTTGTAAATGGGACCTTGGAGTATCCAAGCTTAGGCTTTCAAATGAGGAATGCACATGAAAGCACTGTGAAATGAGCACCAAGACCATCAAGTATGTTGATATAGCAATGTGATATTGTCTATTTTTTAACATGACCGAACAAAGGTATGTAGATATACACATGTATGTATAGATCCCATTTTTGGTAGGTATATAAGCTACCACACAGAAAACAAATGCGTGGTTCTCTGGAGACACGGGCCATGGGCGACCTATGGCACTTTGTTGTTTACCCTCCAAGAAATTACTATAGACATGGAACACCCACCATCTTTAATCATGTGATCATTTTTCCTGGGACTTTGAAACTTCTGTTCTTTCATATCAATGTTGCTAATATTTGTTAATTTACTCGGTATTCTCATCCACCAGCCCCAGCTTTCAACCGCGAGGCGAAAGAGCAGCTGCAGGAGCTGGCGGAGAAAATGAAAGCGAGCAAAGCGGACGCTTGTTTTCAGTGATGGGTGATGGGTGAAGCTATGGCATCTATATGCGCAGTACCTATGTATACAAATACAAAGAGTGTATACATACATAATCATATATATATATACACACATATATATATACATGTTACAGTATATATATATGTACATACGTATACAATACATACATGCACACACTTCGGTATTTCTATACAAACCCTCGACTACATTATATACCTAGATACATCACTCATACACATGGTGGATCTGTATATATGCGCGGTATATGATGTATATAAACATATGCTGTATGTGAATACACATATATATATATATATGTATACACATTATATATACTCATACTATAACTATAACTGTGTTTACATATGCACACACGCAGTATATGCACGGCATAAAAACACACACACACACATGTATGTATGTATATATATATACACATAGGGATACAACCAAGAAAATTTGATCACATTTAGATTCTAGCAATCAGACCTTCCCTACTACGACCCATCATTTTGGTATGAAGCTCTCGGATGGCCCTGTTCAGAGAAGGGAGCAGAAGCAACTGGAAACATGGGCACCGCATGATTGAAAGAACTTGTTGGATCTTGCAAGTCAAGACTTTGCCCATGTCCAAAAATCATCTAAAATCACTTTTGTGGCAGCAACTTGATTGCTTCCATGTTTCCTGCAGGAAGATCCAGCCATATCATGGATGTAATGTGCTGATCAGTATTTATGGTTTGCTGAAAAACTGATAAACAACTTGTCATTATTTTGATCGGCAAATTTATCCTGATGATTTATAATTATTGACATTATCTGATTATCATAGTTCATCATCATCATCATCATTATTATCTGATTATCATGATTACCATAAAACATATCATCCTTATTTAACTACTGCTATTCTGATGATAAACTTGCCGTGTCCTGCATCCTTCCGAGCCTTGAGGATTTGCTACAAGCCAAAAAGAGGCGCCGGGATCGGGCGAAAAAAAACCACAAATGGATTTATCTCAAAAAGCATTTGAAATAGGATCTATCCATCAGAAAATAAAGGGATTTCCATGGAATTAACTGATTTCACTATAAAAAATGATGGGAGTTATGGTTACATTCACCACTTTTGATTGGCAAAATCCTAATCTTTCATGGTAATATAATGGCATTGTAACCGACTATAGTAGGGATATTAAACGATAATCTAATCACGGGCGGCAGATTTTCATGGGATGATAACTTGATATTTGGGTGTTGTACCGGAAAATGGGGGATTAGCCCGTCCACTTCTGGCAATTGATCTCAACCGGAAAACATGGGGTGCCCGGCAATGGCATCCCCCATAAAAGCGGTGAGAAAAAACCATGAGTTCGATGACTTTCCCTCTAAAATCAGCATTTTGTCAGGGGATTTCCTGTCATGTTTGAGTACCCCGATACCTCGGATAGGTTGGGAACTCTGATGTTCTTTTTGTTCTTTTTGTTCCTGTGAGAACTGGGATAGGTCAAGGGATATGCCCCGGTCAGCAATCATTTAACTCCCTAGGATATTTGACAGCAGTTGGTACCTTAAACCAACACAAATGTGGAAGACCTATGCTTAACAAGAAAATGATCTATGTTTGGTGGATATTCCACATCTACACAAGTTTGCGGGCGGGTCTTCCTATATATTAGATGGGGCATGGTCTCACTTTCACCGAAGATTTGATACCTTCTGGTCAGCTTTTGCACTTCGCAGCGAGGGTATATTGAAGCCAAGACTTGTGAAACTACGGGAGGATGAACATCAATGGATTCCAGGTGTGAAAACCTGGATACCCAGGTTCTGATCTCACCTTCGGTGAAGGGAACTAATGTTTATTGGGTCTATTTTTTTTTTCAATCCTTTCAAAGCAACACCTTTTTGAGATATGCTTGACCTAATGTACAGACTCATCTTTGAAACATATTGAAGCAAAAGCGGTGATGGTGGCGATGGTCAGGCATACTCAGGACCTTGAGAATGAGGCCAAGTATGGCTACACAAAGTTCGTGGCGAGCTGAGATTGCTGAGAGATCTATTCAGCTTGGGCGATGTGATTCAGGTAGACATTGATAAAGCAGGGCCGCCTTCTTGCAGCTCCAGCGGTCATAGGATCTTACCCCGCCAGCAATATCCCACTATAATAACTTGATCCATAAAAACATCCCAACCATACCCCAAATGCTTCAGGACATATTCCAAGCAAAGATATGGACGTAGTCTGCGTCGATCTCAGGCGCTCAGCTTGTTGCATGTGGCAGACAACTTAGAGCGAGCGATAGACAGCGTGAAGACCGATCAGTTAGATGAGAGCGAGGCTCGTGGCTTACGATCATGGGGATATAGTTGGAATATAAGGTAATGGATAGTCTAACAATAATTGCGGACTGTTCAAAACCCCTGTCGGTTAGATGATCATAGGGTCTTAGACTCTCCATGTATGGGGAATCACAACCCCTTGTGGGAAATCCATGGAAATTCTATGAAAACCACCAAGTTTTTTAAGGGACGACGAACAGCGGGTTTCGAACAGCTAAGGTTTGTTGATAGGTTTGATGCAACTGGTTGACAGCGGGGTTCTGTTGCTATCAATAGGTATTGTGAAAAAGGAAATACCCTCCGATAATCAAACATGACAATGGGAATTCCACCATTGATGATGTTCCCATTAAAACCTCCATCTATATGAGATGTTTAATTGACACGTTTGATTACCGAAGGGTATATCCCTTCCATGGCTTATCTAGTCATAGATGTGCTTTGTATCATTTTGTATCTGACTACCTTACTTTCAACAACGCTTCTGAGCAACATGATGTAAACAAATTGCCCTAAAGCGACCCCGAAGGATCTTGGGCCGTCCCCGAGCAACAATCGTCAGTTGACCTACGATGCCCCATGATGCACTTGGAGCAAAGATTAGAGCATAGGAGACCTCAGAAGCAGTTTGACATAATTTTACCAATGAAAGTCCATTGGGTTTTCCATGGGTTTTCCATGGGTTTTCCATGGGTTTTCCATTGGGTTTTCCATGGGGTTTCCATGGGTTTTCCATGGGTTTTACATTGGGTTTTCCATGTTTTTCCTTGGTTTCCTAGCCACTTCCAGTGGTTTTTTCCTTTAACTCAAGCCAGTGAGACATGAATCAGTGGAGCACCAAGTTTGTGTCATGGTTTCTCCGGACCAAGTTCGGCTGAAAATTTCAGGCCCAGAAAGAACACCACGGATTTCGGCCATGTTTAATGGTATTTAATGGAGATTACTGGGGATTAATGGGTATCACTGGGGTTTAGTTTTTCGTGAACACAATCCCAAGTTGGGAACTCAATGGCTCGATCCATGCCCCATATACATCACGACCGGCAAACTCATCTGTTTCTGCCTGGGATGATGGCAAAGCACCGGATTTCTTGGGTACTGTGCCAATTTATGAACGCATCCCTACCCAAAAAGATTTTCTCCCATTGACACTCCCATGCCGAGATACCTGCCCTGTTTGGAGCATTCCCTAAGTTGTAGACGCTTAGTATGTGGTTTGAGGTTCAAATGATGTCATAGGTGGGATAACCTCAGGCGGGGGATTACTTTGATTCACATTTATCAACCAGGGTTCTTGACCAGTTACCCATAACTTTCGAAACTGAAAAAGTGGAAGAACAGGCGCGCCATGGCAAAAAGATGGATCATATCCCCATAAAATACACACACTAGCCCAATTTCTCACGATGTTTGGTTCACTCCCATTCAATTCATCAAAATTTTCCCATGATCATTCACCTCCTCCATTAATCATTATATAAGTACCGTTAGATTGCCATTAAGTCGCCATAAAGTCACCATCAAATCAGCCTACTTCGTGCGCCGCAGGAGCTGAAGCACGAAGTGGCCGGCGTAGGGCAGCCCAGCTGAGCCCAGCTGAGCCCGATCTCGGTGATGCTTGGGACTTGAATGGAATGGTTTTGGATGATTTCGCTTGATGATTTGAGGATTTTGAGGATTGGATTGATGAGATTTGATGAGATTTGATGAGATTTGATGAGATTTGATGAGCCTGATGTGAACAGCACACACACACACTGTCAGGTTTCGCTAGTGCTACGGGGTTGCCCATGATGCCCTGGCTCGACAACTCTAACTCTGCTTCGCGAGGTGCAAAAGATTCGGCACGCCGTGGAGGAAGCTTTTGCGGAGTTTGGTGTACACAAGATGAAGGTGGGAGGATAGCAGGATAGGACAAATATAGGCTTGACATAGGCCGGACATGGGCTCGACCATCATTTTGCTTGGATTTCAACATGCTTCAACCGTAAAGATTTCCGGCAGGATCCAATTATATAATCAATTTCTGATCAATGATGGCTGATGACTAGTTCGGGGGTTGTACTACTGTCTTCTTATCTACTATGTCCTATTAGCCATATTGCTATATACTATATATGTATATTTGTATTGGGGTTACTATACTCCATGAACCGGGAATCTCCATTAAGCGACCATTACGTCCAGGATTTTACAATCGGTTTTTCCCACCCCGGCCCCTTGAGATTGTCCAAAAATCGGGGATCAAACAGCAAAAATGGGGGCTTACAGCGACCAAAGGATGCATGCTATCCACTGCAAATCCACTGGAACTTAAACAGGTTCGCGCAAATCCCAAAGTTCTGCCAGTAGGCAAGTAGGCATGTTCATGGACAGGTCGCATGTCAAGCAAAACAACCGATATCATAGAAGCGGTGGTGGCCCAGGGATACGTCAGATACGTGCTTTCTTTGCAAACTAAAACGCCAGGGAGTGACATGTCATTTGGGGCGAGCGTGTGGGCGGAGACCCCCGATTCAACCCAGAATGTTGTAGCCAGCAAAATTTCTAAGCCAATTAACATTGGATAATGGATTATGATTCTGATCGTCTAAGTATAGCCGCAAGATGCAAATTTAGATTTCATCAGCAAAGGTTTGGATGTGATTTAAACAAAGATCGCCAAGTCGATGGATGGAATCAGTCAATCGATAGAATTGCGGGGTTTTTAAACACCCACAATGGGTATTGAAACATAACGACCATGCTGATTTCAACCCAAAAAACTCATCTGGGTTTCTGAACAGACCCATGCTGGTCAAAGGATCCACAACTGTAACCAGTAACCTATGGGTTGATAGGTGGTGGCAGTAGTCTTGAAGCCCTGAACCATGATCACCTAGGGTATATGAGTGGTATCATATCCCAATTGATATTTATGGCTCATTTTTTTCATGTCCTGTACTTACTCATTCTTCATTCCCCGCTGTTGCTATGGAGCTTTGTGTTGTTGCCCCCCACCATGATTGGTTGATCTAAATTGCCATTTTTGATGATCAAATCTCACTCTTTGATGGTTAAATCCCAACCTTTGACAAGGTCAAACGATGTCAAATAATGTTAAATCAGGTTAGATCCCAAATTTTCATGGTTAAAATCATGTTAAATCACCATTTTCCATAGTTAAATCCCAATTTTTCATGGTTCACATCTGCATTTTTCACATTTTTCACAACGCCCCGAAATGGATCTCCAGGCGCTGGACCAGCCCTTCAACCCGGAGCATCACGAGGCGATGTTCGCCATGGAGATGCCTGGCAAGGTGGGACGGGTTTTTGGTTCCGGTGATACCGTGGGAAACAGGGTGATTTAGCATAGATAATATTAGATAATAATACATCTAAATACATATGATTACATATGTATATATATATGTATATATATATATGTATATATACAGATATTTCATTATCTACACAAACATATGTATATATATGTATGTATGTATGTGTGGTAATGTAATGTAATGTCATGTCATGTCATGTCATGTCATGTCATGTAATGTAATGTAATGTAATGTAATGTATGTATCGATATTATATCTGTATATATGTAATTTACATATGAATTATGTAATGTAGTTTCTGCATAATGTGGTAATAACTATGTTGGGATATCAATGGATTTACCCCCTGGTGTCATCAAACATGGCTGGCAATGGAAAATTCCCCGCACTAAATGCAGGTGTATAGCTGGGAAAATCCTGGAACTAATCGTGGATTTTTCCATTACTATGTTTGATTGCTATGAACATCATGGAACTGAGTAATCTGGGTAAAACAATCAGAAACCACCATTTGTGAATGGTAAACATACCACCTATAAAAATGGTGATGACTGGGGGATGGTTTATGGCATTGTTTTACCCACATTATTATATGAGCTATGGTCAATACTCATGGTTATTATAACCATTAATAGGGGCTAGTCATCCAATGGTTCATGGGATTTATAATAACCATTATAAGGATCCTTATTATGGATGGGATGACCATCAACCATATAGTGAGTATTGACCATGGCTCATATATTACTATGTTTGATTTCTGGTGTGAAGAGCAGGGCACTGAGTCGGCTGTGGACGTCTCACCGGATGTTCCTGGATGGCCAGAGAAGGCTTTGATTTTGGAGAAGGCACAGTTTTGGGGAGGCGTAGGGAACCAAGATTTCAACCAAGAGACCAAGAGTTCCTAGAATTCAGCAGTTTTAGCACTATCGGATCCAATTTGGCAGTCAAACATTCTGATCATTTCTGATCCATCGTCCCTCAAAATGAAAACCACACTCCGAATGGTACTCCTCAATCTGGGTTTAAAAGTGGATGGATTCAAAATTATCCCATCGATATCACTCATCGATTTCAACCCAGCCAGGAGCCCAACATCATTTTTCATGTGATGGAGTCGACACCTCAGCGGTGAATTTTGATGTTTTGGAAGTCCACCAAGGTAAAGTTCCACAGCTAACATATGCCTAAGACATGCCGATGTGCATAAGATATTTCTAAGATAGGCCTAAGATATCTGAGATCATTCCTGGTTGGTGGTTTGGAGGTTTTTTTAATTTTCCCATATATTTTGAATAATAATCCAAACTGACTTTCATATTTTTCAGAGGGGTTGGCATACCACCAGCCAGATTCAGATTTTTACATTTAAAAACTTGGGATTTGTCAAGTTCGAGGAACAACTGTTTGATTTTTGCAGCACTTGAGAAGGTTCGGCCCAGAGGGTTTTTTTTGGGGATGGACCTGGTCACTTCACCAGATTTTTTTCTGGTTAAAAACCACTTCACCAGTACAATGAGATGAGTTAAACATGTTCTATACATGTTCCATCGGAACAGAACTAATTAATATTAATTAGAATAATACAATAGGAGTGTGTAAAAAACCTGTTTTGGCCATAATTCATGGCCCGTTTCTTTTTAAGCTCAGACCATGTTGATGTCGCGCTCGCGTAGCCCGAGGCCGGGCTACATGATCCACGACCGCACCTTGAGGGCGGCCAAAGTGGGTGTCACCAAGTGAGGCGATACCAGGCGCGGTTTGCGGATTTCGCTGGTGAATGGATCAATTGATTCCCCCTGGCCATATGGGGGTTATAGCTGGTGAATGGAAAAACATGGAAAAACCTATTTTTTCCCAATAATATGGGTCCTGAATGGGTTTTGACCCATCCGAAATTATGAGGGTTTAACAATGTTTAACATGATTTTTCACGAAGAAATGTTGACATGGACTGGGGATGTTTGGATTGAACATCAATAGATTTCAACAGACCATGACAAAACCAGACGAATTTATTTGATGATACTGGGTTTTTTCTGGATATTTGTTGGGGCTATTGGGATATCATGGGATACCCTCTGGTAAACTAACATAGCTATTGAACATGGCTATTTATAGTGAGTTTTCCCATTAAAAATGGCGATTTTCCATAGTTATGTGGCAGTTTACCAGAGGGTATGTCATACTGTGGATGGAAGAAATCCTGCACCAGTTAATAGGTGGTTTATCCCATTATTTATAGGCTTTCTACCATCCCAGGTGTGCAGGATTTCTTCCATCCACAGTATGTCACCATTTTGATGTAAACGAGGCTTCAACTCGGGGCTGCCGAAAGCAAATGGTGCTGGGATTTCCCAGCCACGTGGCTGATTACCAGAGGGTATATCCATCAATATTCTAATAATAATAGTAACAACAACAATATACATATATATATATATATATCCCGTTATAATCCCTCTTAAACAACATAAAACCATATTAAACCACCATTAAACTACCATTAAGCCTCCATTTCATGGGGAAACTTGAGCCAACAAACATCAGCCCAGGCCGCCCAGGATTTGGGTGATCCTCAAGGGTGAGCAGTTGCGTTGAGCACCAGGCTTCTTGAGGAAATTTGACCCGAATCTGTCTCAAGCAAAAAGCTGCGGCAGTGATGGTGCTGTTCACCCGGAAGTTTCCAAATGGAACTATTATATACTATCATACTATTGCCATTTCCAGGCTTCCAGGAGGCTAATCACTCACTCATTTTGAGCCATTTTGATCCGTTTTGAGCGTTCCATGTTAGTGTTGTCATGCTTACAAGCAGTAATTGAATTCTTTAAATCCAATTACCGTTGACGATTTCATGCGGGCCGCCGACGGCGGGTGGCATCACCGTGGGTCACCTGTCACAGCATGTTGGATGAGAATGCCAGCTAGTAAATGCTAGTATCAACCGCATCAACTATATTTAACAAAAGTCAGTTATACATAGTATCATAGTATGTGGAATAATAAATGCATTACATATGTACACATTATATCTATCTATATATTTATGGTGTGATCAAAGTTAATCCCCAATCATTAGGCGGATTGCGGATTAAACGGATTGCGGATTATGCAAGAACTCTTCGCTCGGTGTCAGGCTCCCGTGTAAAAGTTAAGACCCCCCGTGCGCTTGAATCTTGCTAAGCCATGGCCGACGAGCGCTGTGTGGCAACTGCGTTCATGTTGTGGTGGCAAGACAGCAAGGATAAAGTGGGCAGAGGAGCCGCAACGTCTAAACGTGGGAGCCGAGGTCCGACGTGGAGCTCACCGTGACCGAGGTCTTTCTGGAGAGGAGTTACAAGGTGCCGGGTCTATGTGTGTGCGTGTGGCTACCCTCCCCCCGTCTTCTTCTCTCTTTTTTTTCTGTTCTTCTCTCGTATTCTCTCCATTCTCTCCTCTTCTCTCTTCTTTCTATTCTTCTCTCTTCTTCTCTGCTCTTATCTCTTCTTGCCTCTCCTTCACTCTTCTTCGCTCTTCTTCTCTCTTCTTCTGTTTTCTTTCTCTCTTCTTCGCTCTTCTTCGCTCTTCTTCTCTCTTTTCGTATCTTTTTCATTTCATCTTTTTTTCTTTTTTCTCTCTTCTCTCTCTCTCTGTCTCTCCGTCTCCCTGTCTCCCTCTGTCTCCCTCTGTCTCCCTCTGTCTCCCTCTGTCTCCCTCTGTCTCCCTCTGTCTCTCTCTGTCTCTCTCGGTCTCTCTCTGTCTCTCTCTGTCTCCCTCTGTCTCCCTCTGTCTCTCTCTGTCTCTCTCTGTCTCCCTCTGTCTCCCTCTGTCTCCCTCTGTCTCCCTCTGTCTCCCTCTGTCTCCCTCTGTCTCCCTCTGTCTCCCTCTGTCTCTCTCTGTCTCTCTCTGTCTCTCTCTGTCTCTCTCTCTGTCTCTCTCTGTCTCTCTCTGTCTCTTGCTCTGTCTCTTGCTCTGTCTCTTGCTCTGTCTCTCTCTCTCTCTGTCTCTCTCTGTCTCTCTCTGTCTCTTGCTCTGTCTCTCTCTCTCTCTCTCTCGTCTCTTTCTCTCCTCTCTTTCTCTCCACTCTTTCTCTCCTCTCTCTCTCTCTCTCCTCTCTCTTTCTTTCTCTCCTCTCTTTCTCTCCTCTCTTTCTCTCCTCTCTCTCTCTCTTTCTCTCTCTCTCTCTCTTTCTTTCTCTCCTCTCTTTCTCTCCTCTCTTTCTCTCCTCTCTTTCTCTCCTCTCTCTCTCTCTCTCTTTCTTTCTCTCCTCTCTTTCTCTCCTCTCTTTCTCTCCCCTCTCTCTCTCTCTTTCTCTCTCTCTCTCTCTTTCCCTTTCTCCGTCTCCCTGAGGGCGCATAGTACCCAATGCCCTTGCGATGAGGTTTGTTTCTGGGCGGTGAATATTGGGGGGCGATCTGGAATCACTTCAGTTCTTGTGCGTCCTTTGTGCATGCGGAGACCTTCTTTCCATCATGCGCAAGCTAACGTCAAAACCCAGGGGCAAGAGTTGAAGATCCTTGACTTGCAGCCACTGGTGGCCGCATGCAAAGCGGAGACATCAGCGTATGTTAGACAAGGAGATGGAGTGCTGGCAGTCGCTTTGAAATCTTTGTGTGCGCAACTGCAACGCAGAGGCAACAGAGGTGGTTCAGAATGGCTCTTGGAAGAGTTTGCTCGTCAAGAACAAGTGGCCCGTGATTCATACACAGCTAAGTATTCCATTGGAGATGCATGGCAGTGCTCTTTGAAAGTCCTGCCGCCCAGCCTGAACCAAGTGGTGCAAATTGTGCAAGGCTTGAGCAGCACCTTCCCCATGCAGTTATAGTGTTTTTTTGCAGAATCTCTTGGTAATATTCAAATGCTTCTCGCGTTCTCCAGCCCCTGGTGGGCCCTCACGTGCTGCATCCGAAATTCCAAGAAATGTCAGGCGCGCACTTGAAGCCATGGTCTTTTTCTTTCACTCAGCACCAGGTTCACCAAGAATAAGAATGGCGCAGACCAGCTGTCATTCTTCTGGAGTGTCGCGTATCTGTCACTCCCTGATTCTGGGTTTGACCAGCCTTGCGAGTCTCTCTGCCTTGTGCAAATTTCACTCATCCTGACAATCTTGCGGTCCCCGATGGTAGTTTTGATTCTGTTTCACTCATTCCCGAAAGCCTTGAAAGCCTCGACGCCGCTTGACCGTTCCAGAAATTTGTGGCCGAGATCTTCCGTCGGCTGTTGCCGGTTTGGCACGCCATTTTGCGCTGGATGAACAGGTGCTGCTGCGGGATTTGGCTTGTTTACAAAAAGTCAGATCATCCAGCCAAAACCAATTGGGAGACTTGAGATATGACCATAGCACACACTGCGGAAATCAACAATAAGAAAGGACATTGCGTAACTGGCATCCTCCAAGATGTCGCAGTCACTGGGTTGGCCATGAAAAGACGGCAGCGTTTGCTGTGTGGTCCAAAAGGACGGTCTGGTAGTCAAGGTCCTTGCCCTCAACGCGCGCGACGTTGTGAGGCGGGACCTAACCGCCAATGCTTACCATATGTAGAAAGGATAGGGGCGGACACCGAAAGTGGCGCCAATATCTCTGCAGGGGAGCTTTGTCTTTGATATAGACCCTCAACGGATTACGGTTTATAAACGGATTAATGGATTACAGGGATTGGGTCCCGAAACAATGATTGCAACGATTACGGATTGCCATTAGCAGCCCTGTTGTTTAGATCAGTCCACTATATATAATATAGGCTATGAACCACATATCCTATCTAGGCTGCACATCGAAGGAGACGTCAACGAGGTGAATCACAGAGGTTTACGAGGCGTTGAGGCTGGGGTGTGCGGCTTAACCGCCAAATAAATATACATATGTTTGTATGCGTGGAATACACGCATACAAATATATATATATACAAATATATATATATATATATTCAACAAAGGTATATTAGATAAATAAATTTAAATAAGTATACGTATATATATATATACACATGTATTTTTGTTTTTTTACGTGCGCGCATGTGTATTTACATACATGCACGTGTATATATATATATATAATACAAATTTAATATGTATACATATATAGAACCCATAAACTATATATGTATATATAGAGACGTTTGTTTGTCAACCACCGGCCTCCACAGGGGGACACCGCGGTATTTCGGCTTCAGATTTGGGTAGTAGGGGCAGCGTGCCCGGTGTCGTGCAACCATGGTTGGGGCCTCAAGAAAGGTGGGAGTCACCGAACCCACTGACTTAGATGAGCATTGCTAGCATGTTCATAAACCAGGGCTGAGAAAACAGTTTCAAACAGGGGAGGTACCAGTTCTAGTATATAGTGGTTTATCATAGTTTATCTCTATTTTAGGGGGTAAGTTCCCGAGTAAATCAAGAGAATTTAGAGTTCACATTAAGAAACATCTACGGACCTAGGTCCACAGATAGTGACGGGTCGTTGTTTGTAGCATTTGGTTTTCTTACCCAACTCAGGTTCAGTCATATAAGCCCCAGGTTACCAGCTGCCATGCAGATCAGAGTAAGGATTCTAACTTGTTTTTTTGCAGACAGGCATGGGATTGAACCAGAAAGTACATTCAGACATTTTTTCAGCAAACCAATGGAACTAGATTAGTCATGGTGTTATCCCATGCATAAGTGAGTTACAAACCTCCTTATTGGCCACTGGCATCACTATCTGGCATAGGTATGTATGAAACAAAGTATATAACCATTTTGACGCTGGAACATACAATACAGAGCTGAAAAAATGAACCTTTTTGCAGTACTGAGTCCCGATTGTGTATCCCATCTTTGATGGTCAGATTCTGTGGGAAATAACAAGTTTCCACTCAAACCCACGGCATCAATTGGCATTTGATGGACAATTTGTATATTTCAGCTAATGAAATGCCAACTTTGAAGGACCATTCAAATGATATATAATGATATATATATATATACATGGAAATTATGAAAATTAGTATATTTCAATATATTTCAGTTGTTTGATGAAACATCATTTTTTGCAGCTCGGAGTCGCCCCCTTTAGGTGAAGACAACTTCCTTGACGAAATCGGAGCTGGTGGATGTCTTGGGTAGTGCCAAGACCAGCAAGGCGTGGCGCCAATTCGATGGCAAAACTGGGGGCGAAAAGTGGTGGATCATGACCTCATATGACCTCCATTTAAGCGTCGAAAAGCTGGGTGCTTCAATGGGGGTTTAACGCTGGAGACGAAGAGAAGGGAATTCCATGCATTTCGACCCATAGATGGATGCTCCAGATGCCATTTTTTGGGGGTCAATGATAATTTTTCACCAATGGAATGGGGGTCCAGATTTTGAGAAAACCCCAGATGTCGATAGGTCAAAAGCTCAGATTTTCCTCGGCTTTGGAAACTGAATGATGGGAAACCCCCCAAGCGACATTGCCCTATGGGCCCATGGTTTAGAAGGGCATGTTTTGGGTTATCCCATGTTATCTGCCAATTTTTGGGCAAACCCTTATGATACAAATCTACCTACCCCCCTCCCTACCTATTTATCTATCTATCTACCTATCTCCCGATCTACCTATCTATTTGGCCATCTATCTAATCATAGTCCCCCCAAAAGCCTACCTCTCATCTCCTGCTGTCTGCTACCTATAATTTGTCATAATTTTTCCCTAGCGTCTGCAGCTATGGATTTCAATGGGCTATACATCGATTTCTAGCTGGCGCCAGATTAAGGCAATAATCAATCAAGCAGCAAATATGGCGATTCCGTCAACAAAACTGGGGATATCAGCCAGACATGATCATGGTGGCTCCTTGGAGTTTACACGCACACACACATACATATGTATATATATACTGTATATATATATTATAATATAAATATATATATGCATATGTATATATATAATATAATATAATATAATCTAATATAATATAATATAATACAATATAATATAATTTAAAATAATATAATATAATATAATTTAATTTAATATAATATAATATAACATAATATAATAATATAATAAAACATAATACAATATAATATAATTTAATGTAATATAATACAATATAATATAATAATATATAATATAATATAAAATAAAATAATATAATATAATATAACATAATATAATAATATAATAAAACATAATATAATATTAAGGGGCTACGCCCCCTGCCGCCGACCCCTGGGAGAGAGTGAGTTTGGAACCCTTCCTGCAGTGAACATCTTCCACAGTGATGGCGGCCGAAGCTCAGTCAAAGTCGCTGGTCTGTTTTCATGTGTTCCATGTGCGCGGAACGCAAGCCACGAACAGAGTTTACAGCTTGGCAACAAGGTCGTGAATATACTCAAGACGGCACACAAGTATGCAACGCATGCACAGCCTTTGCCTTCGTTTGCCGTCTTGCTCATCGCACGAATCAACGCCCGGCCCGCTTGCGCCAACGCGAAACCCGCCACCGGCACGCAGCAATCCTAGAGGACATTCGCAAGGAAATTCAGGAAATACACGAAGCAAGACAAACTTCCACGCGAGCAGAAGGTCCCAAAACGGACACTGCCCACTCATCGAACCAGCAGCTTGCTGTCGGGCCTGACACAGCACCGCCACGACTGCACATATACGTCTGCCCGTACTGTGCTAAGTCTGTGCAAAGCCCTGTGGCAACAGGGCGCGTCGATCACCGCCGCGGTAATGGCTGCGGCAAACAATTTCGCGTTGCCAATGGCCTGCTCGCAGGTGGCACATATTCGCATGCATGTCCAACATGCGGCACGGTGGTGCACTCAACACTGGCTTCCGGCCGAATTCGGGTAACGCATCGCAATCCCAGCGGCCGGCAGTGTCGCACCAACCAGTGGCGCGTGCATACCTGATGACGTTTCCAGCTTAAGGTTGCCACACCGCACGGCAATGCCCCACAGTGCTTTCTGAACCTACAAGAAAAGTAGCCGTCTTCCAGCTTTCCAAGCTCAGAAACGGCGCCTCCGCCACGCCCAAACAGCAGGGCCCTGAAGGACGGACCGAGCCTCCGGGCAACGGCTCCCACTGCCTAACGTTGCTTTCTGAACCTACAAGAAAACTAGCTCTCTTCCAGCCGTCAAGGCTCACAAACGGCGCCCTCGCCACAGCAAAACAGCAGGGCCCTGAAGGACGGACCGAGCCTCCGGGCAACGGCTCCCAAACTAGCTCTCTTCCAGCCGTCAAGGCTCACAAACGGCGCCTCCGCCACGCCCAAACAGCAGGGCCCTGAAGGACGGACCGAGCCTCCGGGCAACCGGCTCCCACTGCCTAACGTTGCTTTCTGAACCTACAAGAAAACTAGCTCTCTTCCAGCCGTCAAGGCTCACAAACGGCGCCCTCGCCACAGCAAAACAGCAGGGCCCTGAAGGACGGACCGAGCCTCCGGGCAACGGCTCCCAAACTAGCTCTCTTCCAGCCGTCAAGGCACTCACAAACGGCGCCTCCGCCACGCCCAAACAGCAGGGCCCTGAAGGACGGACCGAGCCTCCGGGCAACGGCTCCCACTGCCTAACGTTGCTTTCTGAACCTACAAGAAAACTAGCTCTCTTCCAGCCGTCAAGGCTCACAAACGGCGCCCTCGCCACAGCAAAACAGCAGGGCCCTGAAGGACGGACCGAGCCTCCGGGCAACGGCTCCCAAACTAGCTCTCTTCCAGCCGTCAAGGCTCACAAACGGCGCCTCCGCCACGCCCAAACAGCAGGGCCCTGAAGGACGGACCGAGCCTCCGGGCAACGGCTCCCACTGCCTAACGTTGCTTTCTGAACCTACAAGAAAACTAGCTCTCTTCCAGCCGTCAAGGCTCACAAACGGCGCCCTCGCCACAGCAAAACAGCAGGGCCCTGAAGGACGGACCGAGCCTCCGGGCAACGGCTCCCAAACTAGCTCTCTTCCAGCCGTCAAGGCTCACAAACGGCGCCTCCGCCACGCCCAAACAGCAGGGCCCTGAAGGACGGACCGAGCCTCCGGGCAACGGCTCCCACTGCCTAACGTTGCTTTCTGAACCTACAAGAAAACTAGCTCTCTTCCAGCCGTCAAGGCTCACAAACGGCGCCCTCGCCACAGCAAAACAGCAGGGCCCTGAAGGACGGACCGAGCCTCCGGGCAACGGCTCCCAAACTAGCTCTCTTCCAGCCGTCAAGGCTCACAAACGGCGCCTCCGCCACGCCCAAACAGCAGGGTCCTGAAGGACGGACCGAGCCTCCGGGCAACGGCTCCCACTGCCTAACGTTGCTTTCTGAACCTACAAGAAAACTAGCTCTCTTCCAGCCGTCAAGGCTCACAAACGGCGCCCTCGCCACAGCAAAACAGCAGGGCCCTGAAGGACGGACCGAGCCTCCGGGCAACGGCTCCCAAACTAGCTCTCTTCCAGCCGTCAAGGCTCACAAACGGCGCCTCCGCCACGCCCAAACAGCAGGGCCCTGAAGGACGGACCGAGCCTCCGGGCAACGCTCCCACTGCCTAACGTTGCTTTCTGAACCTACAAGAAAACTAGCTCTCTTCCAGCCGTCAAGGCTCACAAACGGCGCCCTCGCCACAGCAAAACAGCAGGGCCCTGAAGGACGGACCGAGCCTCCGGGCAACGGCTCCCAAACTAGCTCTCTTCCAGCCGTCAAGGCTCACAAACGGCGCCTCCGCCACGCCCAAACAGCAGGGCCCTGAAGGACGGACCGAGCCTCCGGGCAACGGCTCCCACTGCCTAACGTTGCTTTCTGAACCTACAAGAAAACTAGCTCTCTTCCAGCCGTCAAGGCTCACAAACGGCGCCCTCGCCACAGCAAAACAGCAGGGCCCTGAAGGACGGACCGAGCCTCCGGGCAACGGCTCCCAAACTAGCTCTCTTCCAGCCGTCAAGGCTCACAAACGGCGCCTCCGCCACGCCCAAACAGCAGGGCCCTGAAGGACGGACCGAGCCTCCGGGCAACGGCTCCCACTGCCTAACGTTGCTTTCTGAACCTACAAGAAAACTAGCTCTCTTCCAGCCGTCAAGGCTCACAAACGGCGCCCTCGCCACAGCAAAACAGCAGGGCCCTGAAGGACGGACCGAGCCTCCGGGCAACGGCTCCCAAACTAGCTCTCTTCCAGCCGTCAAGGCTCACAAACGGCGCCTCCGCCACGCCCAAACAGCAGGGCCCTGAAGGACGGACCGAGCCTCCGGGCAACGGCTCCCACTGCCTAACGTTGCTTTCAGAACCTACAAGAAAACAAGCTCTCTTCCAGCCGTCAAACCTTCAAAAACGCTCTTCCAGCCGTCAAGGCTCACAAACGGCGCCTCCGCCACGCCCAAAGAGCAGGGCCCTGAAGGACGGACCGAGCCTCCGGGCAACCGCTCCCACTGCCTAACGTTGCTTTCTGAACCTACAAGAAAACTAGCTCTCTTCCAGCCATCAAGGCTCACAAACGGCGCCCTCGCCACAGCAAAACAGCAGGGCCCTGAAGGACGGACCGAGCCTCCGGGCAACGGCTCCCAAACTAGCTCTCTTCCAGCCGTCAAGGCTCACAAACGGCGCCTCCGCCACAGCAAAACAGCAGGGCCCTGAAGGACGGACCGAGCATCCGGGCAACGGCTCCCACTGCCTAACGTTGCTTTCTGAACCTACAAGAAAACTGCCTCCCACTACAGAAAAATGTAAAGGAAGGAGAAAGAAAAAAAAAATAGAGGAAAAAAAAATAGAGAAAGCACTCCTCTCCAGCAGTCAAGGCTCACAAAAACGGCCGCCCTCGCCACAGGCAAAACAGCAGGGCCCTGAAGGACGGACCGAGCCTCCGGGCAACGGCTCCAAAACTAGCTCTCTTCCAGCCGTCAAGGCACACAAACGGCGCCTCCGCCACGCCCAAACAGCAGGGTCCTGAAGGACGGACCGAGCCTCCGGGCAACGGCTCCCACTGCCTAACGTTGCTTTCTGAACCTACAAGAAAACTAGCTCTCTTCCAGCCGTCAAGGCTCACAAACGGCACCCCCGCCACAGCAAAACAGCAGGGCCCTGAAGGACGGACCGAGCCTCCGGGCAACGGCTCCCAAACTAGCTCTCTTCCAGCCGTCAAGGCTCACAAACGGCGCCTCCGCCCCGCCCAAACAGCAGGGCCCTGAAGGACGGACCGAGCCTCCGGGCAACCGCTCCCACTGCCTAACGTTGCTTTCTGAACCTACAAGAAAACTAGCTCTCTTCCAGCCGTCAAGGCTCACAAACGGCGCCCTCGCCACAGCAAAACAGCAGGGCCCTGAAGGACGGACCGAGCCTCCGGACAACGGCTCCCAAACTAGCTCTCTTCCAGCCGTCAAGGCTCACAAACGGCGCCTCCGCCACGCCCAAACAGCAGGGCCCTGAAGGACGGACCGAGCCTCCGGGCAACGGCTCCCAGTGCCTAACGTTGCTTTCTGAACCTACAAGAAAACTAGCTCTCTTCCAAGGCTCACAAACGGCGCCTTCGCCACAGCAAAACAGCAGGGCCCTGAAGGACGGACCGAGCCTCCGGGCAACGGCTCCCAAACTAGCTCTCTTCCAGCCGTCAAGGCACACAAACGGCGCCTCCGCCACGCCCAACAGCAGGGTCCTGAAGGACGGACCGAGCCTCCGGGCAACGGCTCCCACTGCCTAACGTTGCTTTCTGAACCTACAAGAAAACTAGCTCTCTTCCAGCCGTCAAAGCTCACAAACGGCGCCCTCGCCACAACAAAACAGCAGGGCCCTGAAGGATGGACCGAGCCTCCGGGCAACGGCTCCCAAACTAGCTCTCTTCCAGCCGTCAAGGCTCACAAACGGCGCCTCCGCCACGCCCAAACAGCAGGGCCCTGAAGGACGGACCGAGCCTCCGGGCAACCGCTCCCACTGCCTAACGTTGCTTTCTGAACCTACAAGAAAACAAGCTCTCTTCCAGCCGTCAAACCTTCAAAAACGCGCCCTTTCCGGCCGTCACAAACATTCAAAAACGGCCGTGAGTGCCTAACGTTGCTTTCTGAACTGCCTAGAAACTAGCTTCAAACCTTGCTGTTTCCTGCCGTCAGCTCGAGTCCAAGGACCCTGTCGCGGGCCTCAAACACCATGGCAGTGAAGGACGGATCGGGCCTGCGGGCCACGGCCGTGAGTGCCTAACGTTGCTTTCTGAACCTACAAGAAAACCTTGCTGTCTGACCCAAAACGGCGCCTGCGCCACAGCCAAACAGCAGGGCCCTGAGGGACGGACCAGGTCTGCCGGTTCAAACCTTGCTGTTTCCTGGCGTCAGCTCGGGTCCAAGGACCCTGTCGCAGGCCTCAAACACCATGGCAGTGAAGGACGGATCGGGCCCGCGGCCGGCAGCCCATACTGCCAAACGTTGCTTTCTGCAGTGCCTAGAAACTAGCTTCAAACTTTGCTTTTCCCTGCGTTCCTGCACTGCCAACTGCCAACTTGCCTGCATTGTCTGACAGCTGGCTTTCGTGCGGCACAGCTCCGGTCAAGTCGAAACTAGCTTCAAACCTTGCTGTGTCTTGCCGTCAGCTCGAGTCCAAGGACCCCTCCGCAGGGCCCCAACACCATGGCACTGAAGGACGGATCGGGCCCGCAGCCGGCAGCCCACGGTGCCAAACGTTGCCTTCTGAACTGCCTAGAAACTAGCTTCAAACCTTGCTTTTCCCTGCCACTTTGCCTGCGTCGTCTTGCAGCTCAAACCTAGCTTTTCCCTGCGTTCCTGCACTGCCAACTGCCAACTTGCCTGCATTGTCTGACAGCTGGCTTTCGTGCGGCACAGCTCCGGTCAAGGGACCTCCTCGCAGGGCTAAAACACCATGGCAGTGAAGGACGGATTGGGCCCGCGGCCCGTAGCCCAGAGTGCCAAACATTACTTTCTGTCGCTCGTTTACTCTTGCTTCTGCATTCTTGCTTCTAACTTCTTGTTTCGTGCTTCTTTCGCTTGCTACGTTCGCTGAGACTGCCCCTCCTTTTTCGCTTCCTTTTTTGAGCTTCTTACTCTGCACCTGGCTTCCCTTTCTGTCCCCCCCTCGCTTGCCCCGCTACGTTCGCTGAGACTGCCCCTCCTTTCTCGCTTCCTTTTTTGGGCTTCTTACTCTGCACCTGGCTTCCCTTTCTGTCCCCCCCTCGCTTGCCCCTCACTTGCACTGCACAACACTTGTTGCTTGTAATCTCTTCTCTGACGCGCTCCCCCTGCTGTCGGCAGGGGTCGGCGGATAATATATTTTAATGTATTATTTTAATGTATATAATATAATACAATATAATATAATATAATATAAAACAATATAATATAATATAATATAATATAGTATAATATAATATAATATAATATATTATATATACACATACACATGCTTTCATTCGTCCCATTTCTTGTGGATGTTTCACTCAGTAAAATGCAAATTTCATGACAGACATGAGATGTCACCATGACAAATGCTAGGTGAACTGGCAACTGTGGGGTTTCAACAGAAAATCGCAGACCACCCAATGCCAACAACATCAGGGCAAGGAATACCCAGCCGGCACTGCCAATGTAGCATGGGAACAAACCCAGCAACAAGAGGTATGTTGAGTAAGATCCCCATGAGCTGTCACATGCAATTTGAATCAGGAACTTATTATTTACCTGGGATATGGAGAAATCAAACAAGAAAGTTGCGGACAAATAATCTCTCAACCACAGAAGTACAGGGTTTATTTTTCCGCAAAATAAACGGCTACATATTCTTGGATGGCAATGTATACATCTATGCAGGACAAGGATTCGTCAGACCGATAGTCCAATATTGCACTCCCAACAGAGTACGGGCTCAGTTGCCCTGCACTTTCAGAATTACCATCCAATAACGACTAACAATTTTGCTTTGGAATAAACTGGAATAAGGGCACCATGTTTAATATTTATCATTTACGAATGGGCAATCTATACCATAGCAAACTTTTAAACATCCGGTCAAAGGGAATACATGTGTGGGTATACGTGTACCAGGAGCAACCACTTGCGTTTTGAGGCCTGGGTCAGCCCTGGGTCACACCGCCGTCCCAGGAGCGCAATCGTGCGGTGAAGCTCTTGAAACAATTTGATCCAGTCCCGCAGTTCCAGTTTGATGATGAGGGCCTCAAGTCCAAGATGAGGCGGAGCGAAGTCATGCACTGAGCGAAAAACATCATGATATCAAGATGATGGAAGTGGCTATAATAACTGGCCCTGTGAGGTTGAAACAGGGATTGAGGGTTTCATTCCAAGCTTGGGGCGCTAAGGTACCAACGTTGCTGATGTTTCACGGTCTAGAAGCATGCTAGAAGCTTAAAACTTACTAATGCTTGCTGTTTGCGGTCCAAACAAATCATGAAACACAGCTACGAAATTCACTCTGCTTGGACCCTCAAACCACCCTTAGCCAACTCAAAGGTTGATATTGCATGATATTGTGAATCTATTGTGCTGGTGCCCCAGCCAATCCCAATGATGGTGGATGAAGGGTCGCGTCAGCATTTATTTTCATGTCTTTACAGGTTCAAACCAATGTTTGGTTTGGTGATTTGGAACGCTGTAAATTTGATGACCAACCCGGGACCGGGGCCTGTCAGCACCCCTTGCCGCGACACAGGCCGAAAAAGTATGCCAAGCTGGCATGGTTTTTGCGCAAAGTTGGGGGATGGCGGGGTCACACCGACATGGACAGCAGTGGTTGGCAGCCCGAATTTTTCGAGTAATCTCCTTTGTGTTTGGTCAACATTTCACACACACTTGAAACACATCCATCTCATGAGACACAGGGCCCCCCCTTTGAAAAGCGGTGCCAGGACTATTTGCTGGGCTACATGTGCTTCAGATGCGATAAGGTGAAGCAGTCCAACTACAAGGCCCTTCCGGCCAGGTCATCGGGTGAGCTGCGGGGCTGCTCATGGTCGGCTTCAGGTGATTTGGAGCACATCTAAGGGCAACAAGATCATCTGCCTGGTGCTCAGTATTTGTGGAAAACCCAGGCACCACAGATTATTCGATCCTCGGGGATGTGAAGTCTGAAGCATCATAAAGTATCGGGGCCTTTTTGTTCCTTCATGATTTGACTCATGTCCTTGTAGGGGTCAATGATGCTTCAAAACACGTTAACCTTTGTGAGTGCTTTTCTGGAAGGGATGTCTGAAAATCGGGCATTGGTTAGCCACCATTGTATACCCCTTTCTCGGACACACAGATATTTTCCTCACTGTTTCGACTTATTTTTACTGTTGTTGTTTGAAACATGTGAGGATAGATATTGAAGATCCACCTTCTGAATTTGAATTTAAGGAAATGAATTTATGTAATTTTCTATCTCTATCCTTGCATCAATTTTTGAGGTTCCAACAATTATTGAAACAGGTATTCCCACTATATTCCTGCCATTTTCCGTTTTCGTGCTATATAATGTTATATATAATTCTATATATATATATATTTATGCAATATTATATAGGTATATAGGTGATGCTTACAACACGCACCAAAAGATAGAAAAGTAAAGGTACTACTTTTCCAGAGCGGCAAATTTCCCCACCATGTTCTCTCACCGTAGCCTTATATTCCCATATTTATCCATAGTTCCCCACTATATCCCTACTATATCGGTGGTGCCCCAGTTATACGTTGGTTTGTAACCCCAATCTAATTGCAGTTATAGTAATCATAAACCCAAACAAACCCCAACTCAATCTAGTTGGCCTTTGGTAATTCAAGGTCGCTATGAAACATCACAACTTTTAGTAGGTAAATCAGTAAATCATCATTTTTATTATCTATTTAACTATGGGCCATGGCTTCCATAGCTACATCCCCTCCCTACGTCACTAGGTCCCCATCCCTCGGAGTCACGTCCAAGGCCACCCGTGCTATGCCCAGCTGGCCGAGCGTGAGGACGTGGCGCAGATGCGTGCAGCGAATCAGAAGGCCTACCATCGTGACCATCGTGGCCTGGGGAGAACTCTTTGCCACGCATTTTTATGTTTTACCTAATTTTTTTTTGACCTGGATTTGCTGAAGATGGCTTGACATTTTCTGGAAATCCACTACGACTGGGTAATCGATATAGGGAATATTTAAGTTTCATGTTTTGCATGTTCCTTAAGCAAATCCAAGTCTACATATAATGGTGAACAATGGCTAATCTGCCACAACAACTTAGAACCTTGGATTTATCCATCACAATATCCCATTATCATATTCCCATTTTTGGGACCATAGAATCGGGGTGTTTAATGTTAGGGGGATGGTGAACAAGGTTATTACTGGTTGGTCAATAGTGTTCGGTTTGGTTGATGATGTTGTTAATGGTTATTAACTAATATGTTATTGATGTAATCAGCACCCAATGGCTGGTAATGGTAATTATATAATGGTAGGTTAAAAATGCTATTAGTTGTTGTCGACTGACCATTGGTTTTATCCAACTGTACTGGTTAATCATGATGATACGGCTGTTCAAGATAAGTACATAATCATTGTTTAAGCACAAACACTGTCTAATGTTGAACAATGGTCAATTATCCTTCAGAAAGCTTTGTAGTTGGGTGAGTCAATCAATGAAATTTTGGGACAAACAATAGTAAATTAGAGATCTAACAAACAAAAATGGAAGGAATTTAACCAACATCAAAATGAGGACTGGGACAGATGCGGAAACAGTCAACACATCAGAATTAATCAGCACGATTGGGAATTTTACTCACTGTTTTGATGAGAATTTCAGCAGCATTGAATGAGCAATAAGCAGCTCATCCCTGGTTGATGGTTATGTTTTGGGTGATCCAGATGGTGATCCTATCAAATCCTGAAGCAATCGGGAAACATCAACGAGGGAATGGCTCAACCGCCAGGCTGGCATCATCCCCAAGGGCTTCGGTTTGGGTTTGACAGGCGCTAAACGAACGCAGAGCTTGGAGGTCGACCAATTCACCCTGGATAGTTGCGTTTGTTTGGATCGAAATCTCAAAGATCCACAAAAATGAGCTCAAGTTGCGGCAGAGTATGGCGGAATCTATTCTCGAAAGTTTTGGGTGGACCGTCATCAATTTTTGGGTTCTGATCCTGGTTGATCCGTTGATCCACGCTGAATCCAAGGGTTTGGGACCTGATGGTTGGAAAACCTCGGAAAAATGATGGTTTAGAACCGCATTTCCCCTATTACCTAATGGCAATTTTAGAGGTATCCTATGGTATTTTCCATTTGCAGATCAAACCATATTTTAGGTTTAGGCGGTCAGAAGCCTTGTCAACAATTCAGCTGACCTGAGAAATCCCCGCAGTTTCACGGAGCCTGTCATGTGGATTGGCTAACTGGTCACACATTTCATGCCCAAAGTCATCCACTAGCACATGGTCAATCTTTATATCATGCTGAAGTCAAAAACACATGGGGAACGTTTGGTGAATTGATATGATTTGATGTAGTTGTTGGATATCTTAGTTTCCCCATCAAACTTGGAACCGCTAGGAACTACCTTCCGCGAAACGGATCACAATTCCCCACTCGCGCAGGTGTTGTGCCAGAACAAGGTCCGAGGTCTTAACCAGGCCTGGCGCCGGTCTTGGAGGCTGAAACCTTCCTGGCGCTTGTCATGGTAAGATCCTGATGGAACAGCATGCTGCCTCAGGTCTGGCGAAGTGAAAAAGCAGGCCTTGGGAATCGCCGCAGACGACAGTATCATATGCTAGCCGTGAGATGTTATTTTGCATCAAAATATGCAGAAATATGCAACACACACACAGAGACACAGTGTATATTCATATATCACTTACTTTCCATGGATGTTCATTTGACGCACAAGTTTACTTTCTATAGGTTTACTTTCTATATTCATATATGTAGATGTTTAGAAGTACAAAGCGTTTGAGTAATCCAGTAAAAAACATGCAACAGTTGGCATCATGGCTGGTTTTCCATCTTACCAGAGTTAAAACGGAGTGGAAGCACGCTGCAAAGAAACGCGCGCGCGCGATCTCGACAGCAAGGCCGCCGCGTGGAACAAATTTGGTGGAAAAATGGCCTCTAGGAACCGTGTGGGTTCTCCCTACCATGGTTAGGAACAACACATGTGGTTTTAATTGTTGTGCACTGTTGTGCCTAAACCAAACATGGGGTTTCAAGCAACAAACCAGTGTACGTTTAGATCAATCAGAATGGTAGTGAGCCAAAATTTGGTAGATACCCCCATGGGATAGGTCACTGAACTATATACTATGATCAGCCAATGTTTGGGTTTCAGGGCTTTAAAGTTTTACCCATACTCATTTGAGCAATTCCTCAAACTCTTGTTTGTTTCTGTTTCTTTAGTTTGAGATCACAATCCAACATAGCATATATACATATGCATATGTATGTATATATATATTAATATCTGAATCTATATCATACTTTATATTATATATATGATTCGCTCTGGAGACCCATATCGACCACGACGTTCTTACATGGCACGTTGGGTGTTCACTGGGCACTGCTCACATGTTATCAGCCAGCGACGACTGGAGGTTCATTTCAGCAGGGAAACGAATGCATGCCCTCCCCCGAAGCGAAGTGGCTTGTTGGCAAATACGCCAGAAACATCTCTCTATTTTACATCTCACTTGCTACATGGGTATGGATCAATACCTATTAATACCATTTTTAGGGGGATGAACATCCATTTACCAGCTATTTTGATGTTCACCAGGGGTACAAGGTTTTGACACACTGCCACATTTAGATGATTTACAGATGATTTTCATGGATTTCCCGATCCTCGTGGTGTTTTTTCGTCAGCTGTGCAAATCTCAGCTCGGCGAGATCGGCTCAAAACGGCACTGTCAGTGCCGGCAGCTGGGACATCCGCCAGAACTATGGCTGGTTTAGTTCGCTAGGATTGTCCACCAGGTTCTTGTTATCATTGGGAACTAAAGCTGACTAATAATTGGGTGAAAACATGCTGCCAGGTTTCGTCAGGTTTCAAGCACAGGTTTCAACTGAGGAGGGCTGCATCCTGCCAGAAGGCTGGAGAAAGGGGTTTCAGAAAGGAGTGGGTTGAATCACCGTACCTCTTTTTCTTCTCCCACTCCGTTTTCATGGAGGCCCTCCACTAAACGATCCATAACTATGAATCAATGAACAATGAATACACATCACCATTTTTCATAAGTAATCACCTATCAATGGGCCATCTTCCATAGCAACCTGTTCAACAACCGGAGGGTGTTTGAAGAAGTAACGAACTTCCACAAGTGGTGGGCTTGCTGCCCGTCATGGCATCCGTAGCTGGTGGCCCATGTAGCTGGCATGGCAGAGGCGGAGGCTCGTTTCCATGCTTTCCATTGGGATGAAGAGTTTGAGTATGGAATCTGACATGATTTGATAGGACATGTGGAATGGAATATATGATGGAATACTCTGATAGTTCAATTATCATATACCTATTTGTGGATGAGTTTTTTTTCCGGGACATGGCCATGGAATATGACTGTTCAAGTAGGAGTTTCCAACAGTGACCTTCCGTACCTGTATCTACTGGCATGGTTGCTGGCGGTAATTCCCAGTTGCAATCACTTCAGAGGGATCCCAGCCTCACTTTAGAAAGGCACCATACACTTCGTCATGGCCTATGTAAATCTAATTTAATCTACTCTCCACAATATGCGCACATATGTACACATGATATTCTCTGCAATATGTACATGTATGCGTATATATATATATATATATATAATATTATAGGTGTACATACATACGCGTACAGATCCGTACAGATCCATCTCTTGAATTCAATGCGGAGGACTACATACCCATTGTCACTAGCATGCTTCAGGTGCAGATCCCTCTGCTGGAGTGGCCCGGCGACACCGGGAGACACCGGGAGACCTGTGGTGCCGTGCAGACTTGTAGTGGACCTATCAGACCTATCATTCTATGTGCTGTTTTGATCTGTTGTATTAAAGTGCTCATTGAATTATAAATGACCTATAATTTTTGGTTATGTGATACCGGCATAAAGACAGGGCACAGTATCAAACAGTCGGATGATTCGCTACTTTTCACTCATGAAGAACTTCGGTGGCCCTGGGCATCGCCTAGGTTGGAGGAAGCCACCCCAATCTCTGCAGGGGTGCGGGCACTTGACCAGCATTCGTTCACGGGGTCTTCCAGTATTCAATGGCTTGAAGCCCAATCATTGAACTGGAGTCTGGAAGCATGAATTCTAGTGTTTTGGGGTCGGTCCCAAAGATGCCTTCTCCCGAGCATGTGCATCAATTGGACATCTATCTACATTTCTGGCGGATTTTCATGGCCATCTTCAATCACTTGAGGGAATGTCCCAAAATATATCCAATTGTTGGTGGTCAATTCCCATTTTGGTCAAACCAATTGTTGGTCAAATCCAAGTTGTTGCTGATCATCCCCCAATCTTTTCTTGGTAGACATATGTTTTATTGCTTAATTCTATCCTAATTTCTGGTCAGCTGAGCTCGGCGTTCTTGTTAGGTCAACTTTATGTTTGCTGATCAATTTCTCCATTTTTTGTGGGTCAATTCCTGATTTGTGTTGGTCAACCAACACCTTGGTGAAACATCCATTTTGGTCACATAAATCACTCTGCACATTTGATGACCAAAATGTGGTGACCAAAATGGATGTTGACCAAATGAGAATTTTATTGATTGTGTGTTCCGTGCAGCACTTTTTCCGGGCCGAGGACTGGTCTGGCCGGGGTCATCATCTAAAGTTCCCCAAACCTGGTGGAGCGCAAAGAAGGTGAGGGAGAACTAGCCAGCTGAAGATGGGCAATCTGATATACCCTAAAGCAAAAACCATCATAAACCATAGCGAAATTTGTTGAAGAACTTTCTCATGTCTTTTTTAACTATACACATATAGACACCACAGGTCACACACCAGGCAACATGTGCTTAAACAGATGGCAAGGGCTAGTGAAATGTCTGAGTCAAACATCACATACTGTAGCGATTTGGGATATCATCGCGGCCATTTATTCAGGTAATTTCAATATATAATATATACACATAGACCATATATATACATGTATATCCATGTATGTACATTATGATATATGTATGTATGTACGTATATATATATATATGTATGATTGTATATGTATAATATATATATATAATATGGAATGTGGCAAAGCCAATAACCAACCTACTATTTTGAGTACGGTTTATACCACCCATTTATTGTTACATTGGATATGTTACGTCCGCCAGGGCTTTGTTGGTGCCTGGCTTCCTGGGAGAGCAGGTGGGGCTCCCATGGCAGGGGTGTGTATATATATATATATGAATGACATCTCACATGAATTACATATCATTTGATGTATGTATGTAAATTACGAACTACAAGTTGTATGTATGTATATATATATTATTATATGATTATATGTATGTTATATGTGTATATATATATATACTGTTATAATTATATATATATATATATATTATTTACGTATATTGTCGTATCCTGTACAACACTGGATTACGATCATGCTTCTGAGACACTGAGTCCTTTGTCCTTTGCAGCTTGACCGGAAAATCTGGAGGAAACCTGCTGGTTTTGTCATGGAAATATGGGGGTTTGCTATGTTTTCCATGGTTTTCCTGTATATAATGTTTCCCATCACTTCTGGGACTTGCCTCCTCATATGATTGCAAACTAGTGGATCGGGAGGGTTTGGCCCTGGTTACAATGTTTCGTTTGGAACGCTGTTTGAAAGAGCTTCATGTCTTCACAATGCCACCTTTCCCGTTCTACCAGACACATTTTGTTGAGATGCCAACCATCTACATTTTGTGGTTTCGGCTGGCTGTGACAAACTGACACATACCAGATGCATCCGGATGCAATGAATTTGAGTGTTCAGGGGATGTACTATATGTGAATGGGTAAAAGTCAAAAACCAAAGTTTTAGGCTATGAAAATCCCATGATTTCCCCCATCACTTTCGGGGTCCCCAATGCCTTGACCCTTTTCCTTAAGGAAACCGAAGAGATCCACAAAGAGGTTCTCGGACCCAGCTGGATCTCGGTCCGGGAACAGGTGAAGATTGGAATATGCCCAGTATGGAATAAATCCCCGTTGAATGATATATATAAAATACATATTATATATATATTATATTAATATAATGATATATGGATATATGGATAATCCCCATACTCAAGAAGATTGGACTATTTTCCCTGATCTTTGCTGGTGAATGTGTGTGTATATATATATATATATCCCTAAGTAATATGCCCATTATATCCTCATGATGGGAATTTAATGGGGATCAATGGGGAGTGGAATTTTATGGCCTATTCTTTGTACATGGGAATTAAACTAAGGGTGATATGATGGGAATATGAAGAAGGGCATGGGGATATAAGGGAAGATTAAAAGGGATGTACCTTATCAACTATATTCAACACCCCCAAAGCCACCAGGACGGATGGGGATGAAATCACAACTGGGACCACAGCATGGGCCTATAATATGAATGGGATGAACCTGGCGCTGTTGGAGGTTGTTTGAGCCTGGCGTTGGCGATGTTTCGTTATTTGTACCTGGTAGTAACGTTTGGGTTTGTCGGAAAATAGGGTGCCCCCAAAGTCCAAAACCCAATGAATTATCACGTTATTTGGGGTAACCTCCATTTTGAGACACCCAGTTGATTGTCAAGGTTTAATGTTGGGATTATTTGGGAATAATAGGGGAGCTATCCGCCTGAAAACTACTGTATCAGGTTGGATCCTGGTCGTATCACTGCAATTTCTGGCGGCTTCACAAGCACAAGCCAGGCCGATGGCCAATTCATGACTAGCCTTGGATAGTTCACACAAGTTTTGGAGAGACATGAAATAGTTCTGTATGAAAATTGCTTCAACATATCATCTATGAAAGCAACTAATCCCTTCCCCCAACTTCTCTGACTTTGGTTATATCCCAAGCTTGCTGGATTCGCTCACATCGCTCAGTTAAAAAAACCCAGCATGGGCAAAAATCAGCCAAACAAAATGAGTTGAAAGGTGAGTTTTGGCTGAAGATGGTCATTCTGTTGGCTTCCTTGGATCCCAAGGCCCGGCGACTGGCAGATGCATCGCCCAAAGAAGGTGGACATGGGGGATGGGCCAATGGAAAGTGTATGTAATTTTCATAGGGAAAATGCAGGGAACATGTCATGGGGATGGAACGGGGGTTAAATACAACCACAGGTATGTAGTAAACTTGCCAAGAACTATGAATATCAAGCCGGCTTTGCAACCCAACATCAGGTTCCAAGGTTCCAGGGTTCCAACGTTGCAGTTCCGTTCCGGTTCGACAAAAAGCGACGCAGCCCTCCCAGGGGCTACCCTAATCTTGGACAAACCCAGGTGGCCCGTAATACTGAAGAATTGGACGCGTCAAAATGAATGGATCCAATAGAAATGGGTGGATTTTAGGGTGGCATTTAGTATGGGACGGGAGTACACCAATCAATGGGGTAAGAATGGGCTCCAACTTGCGCAATCATTCTGTTCTCAAATGTGAGTGGTAGGTTTGATGGGGTAGAAACTATCATCACATTTTCCCCAAGACATGAGATATCCACCAGCAACAATTCGGAATTGTCTGGGTGAACCATTCACTGACAGGTCAACAGCTATGGGACAATTTGCTCAATGATGGGGGGGATAAAGATCCATCACTACCAGATTGGGATATAATGGGCAACCCTATTGGGTCATGATTGCTCTCCTTTAACACATGATAGCTTCTTAGTAACTGGAGTTATAACATTCAAAAATTCGTAAGCAAATTGTTGACCAAGTTATCCTTTGACCCTGAATATGGGTCTAGTTCCAATAAAAAGGTGGATTAATATAACCATAGTTGAATATCGGGCCCCCATATCCCAACAAAAAGGGGGTTAGAATACCATAGTTATGTATCCATGCTTTAAACCCCCAACTCACCACCATTCTGCTCAATAACTTGGTTACCCTCTGGTAAACTAACATGGCTATTGAAAATTGCCATTTATAGTGGATTTTCCCATTAAAAATGGTGATTTTCCATTGCTATGTTAAATTACCAGAGGGTACACTGTTGACCGCCATGTGAAATCCACATTTCTCATGGTTGCCCTCCGGTCATTTAACATAGCTATGGAAAACGGCCGGTTTATAAAGGATTTACCTCTTATATGAAATTGATGGTTTTCTATATAGCTATGTATGTTAGTTTGCTGGAGGGCAAATCCCATGATATTCCGACAAAACCCCAGGATATTCCCACTAAATCCCATGAAATCCATATATACCATAGGATTTCCCATGTGTAACTCTCCATCGAATGAGGTCAGTAGGGCTATCGTAAAGGGTGCCCCCTGGAAGCCTAGGCGCTGCTGCCTCACTGGAAGTGATTCAGCCTGGATCTTGGAGAAATGCCCAGTGCACTGGGATATTGGGGGACAACATGCGATAAACTTTGACTATCTATCTATCTATCTGTCTGTCTGTCTATCTATCTATCTATCCATCAATCCAATCCAATCAAATCTGATCTGATCTAATCTATCTATACATATACCAGTAGTACCGCACAAGGCAGTGGCGGAAGTTTCAAGGATAGGACACTATCGGAGAGGTGAGTTGTTGTGATGCATGGATGGCAGAGCGAATCCACTGATGGACCGAAAGGTGGTTGGAGTTGTGTTTTTTGGAGTGGTTGGAATGGTTGCAGTGGTTACCTCACCCACAACTGCTGGATGTAGTGTGGTGTAGTGCAGTTGTAGTTGTAGTTGTAGTGTAGTGTACATAGCGTAGTGTAGTTGCAGTTGCAGTTGTACCTGTGGTGTGGCGTAATAGTGTAGTGTAGTGTAGTCTAGTGTAGTGTAGTCTAGTGTAGTGCAGTGTAGTGTAGTGTAGTGTGAAGTAGTGTAGCTGTAGTTGTAGCTGTAGCTGTAGTTGTAGTGTAGTGTAATTAGTGTAGCGTAGCGTAGTGTAATGAAATGTAATGCACTTGTATTTGTATTTGCACTTGTAGTTGTAGCGTAGAGTAATGTAGTGTAGTTGTAGTTGTAGTTTTAGTTGTAGTTGTAGTTGTAATTGTCGTGGAGTGTCGCGTAGTGTAGTTCTTGTTGTACTTGTACCAGTAGTAGTAGTAGTAGTAGTAGTAGTAGTAGGAGTAGGAGTAGGAGTAGTAGTAGTAGTAGTAGTAGGAGTAGTAGGAGTAGTAGTAGTAGTAGCAGCAGCAGCAGTAGTAGTAGTAGTGGTGGTAGTAGTAGTAGTAGTGGCAGCGGCAAGGCAGTAGCAGTGGCAGTGGCAGTGGCAGTGACAGTAGCAGTAGTAGCAGTAGTAGCAGTAGTAGCAGTAGTAGCAGTAGTAGCAGTAGTAGCAGTAGTAGCAGTAGTAGCAGTAGTAGCAGTAGTAGGAGTAGTAGCAGTAGTAGCAGTAGTAGCAGTAGTAGCAGTAGTAGCAGTAGTAGCAGTAGTAGCAGTAGTAGCAGTAGTAGCAGTAGTAGCAGTAGTAGCAGTAGTAGTAGTAGTAGTAGTAGTAGCAGGAGTAGCAGGAGTAGCAGGAGTAGCAGGAGTAGCAGGAGTAGCAGGAGTAGCAGGAGTAGCAGGAGTAGGAATAGTAGGAGTAGTAGTAGTAGTAGTAGGAGTAGTAGGAGTAGTGGGAGTAGTGGGAGTAGTAGGAGTAGTATGAGTAGTAGGAGTAGTAGGAGTAGTAGGAGTAGTAGGAGTAGTAGTAGGAGGGGGAGGGGGAGGGGGAGGAGGAGGAGGAGTAGGAGTAGGAGTAGGAGTACTACAAGTAGTTGTAGTAGTTGTAGTAGTTGTTGTAGTAGTAGTAGTAGTAATAGTAGTAGTCGTAATAATAGTAGTAGTACTAGTAGCAGCAGTAGCAGTAGCAGTTGTAGTGTAATTAATGTAGTGTAATTAGTGCAGTGACTGTAATTAGTGTGATGTAATTGGTGTAATGCAGTGCAGTTAGTGTAGTGAAATTTAGCGTAGTGATTTATATTTGTATTTGCAGTTGTAGTGTACTTGTAGTGGTAGTTGTAGTTGTAGTTGCGTGAGGTGTTTTTAGCTTTTTGACTTGCAAATGTGCTTCGCGCCACAACGGCGTGCAACTTTTCATCTCTCATCTGGCCACATGGCTCCGCACCCGCCGCTTTAGCGAGCCTACTTTTCGACTCTCCGGAGCCACAGCTCATTTGAAAAACACAGCGAATCGCGACTTTCCTACCTTTTCGCGCACCTGCATCTTCTTTCTTCTGACTCTTTCCCTTCTCTTCTCTTCTCTTCTCTTCCCTTCCCTTCCCTTCCCTTCCCTTCTCTTCTCTTCTCTTCTCTTCTCTTCTCTTTTCTTCTTTCTCTGACTCTTCCCACCTCTGCTTTTCCATCTGTCCATATTGTCGGAAGTTTGGCTTCTAAACTTCCTTCGGTTATAGTGATTAATAATGGTGAAGCATGGTTAATAATGGTTGCTAATGTTGAGTAATGATTGATGCTGGTTATACAATAATCTGTAATGATAGTGAACATGTGACTACTATAGGGGTTAATCCCTCAATATCCCCCTTGATCAGGGTTATTATTGTAAATGATAACTAGCTGAACATCCCTAATAAATTTTTACGTCCCCAGCAAACTGGACATGGATAATTTAACCAAAAACTACTATATATTTTGGTTCATGATAGCTACTAGTAGTACCTATTAGTAACCCACCAGTCACAGTCAGGAAACCCAGGATGTATTCATTTTGGAGTACGGTCTTGCTTGGCGAGGTTTATGTCTCGGGGAGGGGAGTACATATATCCAATCATGCCTGGCATGTGGGTTTGATGGTTTATCATAATTCTCCCAACTAAAATCACAATTTGGAGGTATACCCAAATTTTCAGACAAACTACCATGTGGTTCAAACCATTTTTGGGTTGTGATACGCTACCATACCCAAACCATGGCCCATAAAAACCTGCCATGATCCGACTCACGGGCGGGGCTCAGGTGTGGTGACTTCCGGCACCCATCCATGGAAGCTTTGTTGAAGCCCTTGCAGAGCAGGCGTTTGTTCACCTGGTCGTTTGAAGGGTAGAAAACTTGCATCCGCCAGCTGGGGGAGCTGAGGCCTCAAAGGTACATTGATAGCTACCAGAGGTTAGAAAAAACGGAGAATCATTGCTTAACATCCCCAGTTTTTCTGTTCATTGTTGCTTGAAATTTTGCCTTCCAATTTTGATTGTATCAGTATTCTCAGTCAAATCAAAATTTTCCTTGGGTTCAAAACTCAAAACCACATTTTTTTTTGATATCCCGGTAACCACCGTGTTTCGCGGTAAACTCGGATTGGTAGAACATTACGATAATCCAAGATCTCCAAGTCTTGGATTGCTTCAAATCACGAAAGGTAACCTAGGCTACCTGAGTTCTATGTACTTTAGTACTAGTTTAGTACTGGGGGAGGTGG